CCATTCCTGGATGTAATGGTGACCAGAAGAATGGACGGGGAATTTCGAACATCAGTTTACCGGAAGCGCCGCAAAAGGACTTCAACAGCAACCACCTAAAGTGCCACAAGATAAGCTGCGTACGGAGGCTGTTTCGCAAAATTGACACACTGCAGAAGAGATTCACAGATAGTGCAAAGCTGCCTAGTGCTGCTCGGCAGATTTGTATGCTGCCATAGAACAGGGCAATATCATCAGAATACTGAAAGTCAAACACTTGAAAGCAACGCCAAGCCAAGTAAATGGAATCCAGTGAACGCAGTTTCCATAACCTCGTCAGTAGCGAAGATGAAAAGGAAGACTCACACCTCTGAACATTTTGAAGGTCAAGAAAAATTTGCCCCAACTCCTCACCCATTTTTTAAAATTTTTTAAAATACACGCACGCAACGGTACAATAAAAGGCACACAAATCTCGGAAACAACTTTCCCTATCGGATAGTCCCAAATGACATACCAATGCACTGAGTCGAAGACACCATGGATGTGGACGACTAAGGTGGGTCACCAATAAACATGGCGGTACAATTAGCGTAAAGTGAAGATGTGATCCGAGAAGCTACTACTCCGACGAAGTTTTACAAGCTTTTCACAAATGGGGCTTTCACGTGTGTCAGGGTAACGCTGAAGAACGACAGAGACAAGCGAATTCGCCGCGATTTGGACCGGATTGATCATGCTTCTACTGCGGTATTCCGAAACTGAGCTAGCCATGAAAATTGGGACTATAAAAAATAGATCAAGTCGGTTAGAGCAGCTCCTCGTTCTCACGATTTTACCAATGCGTATAAACAACCTACCACAGCTGTCCTCAGAGTTCGAAGAGCGTTGAAGCATGTTCAGCGGTATTAAACAACTCCAACAGTCCGACCTCACCTTGAATTCCGTGCGTGAGTACCGATCCAGACGGCCCAGAGGATAGAACGATCAAAGGCCGAGAAGGGGGCTGATAGCTTTAGCCAATAAAATTCCTTGTTTACTGTTCAGCCCGACAGTCTAAAAGTAACGACAAGCAGTCCCCTACCGTTGCATATAGCTTCGCCAACACGAAGTTATCAGTTGACCGTCTCCTGTATCAGGCGGAATAACTTGCGATGGTTACCAACAGCATTCACCGCCTTCATTTCCGATGCACGATGTGACCACCAGACTACGCTGTCCCACTTCAGACTAGAACGCTGATCTGCCCTAAGATCTTTGTGAATTGAGTCCTACTCGCTTCAAGCTCAAATACGTTAGCGATATTGTGTAGAGAACCATTGCCCAAACTAGTAATTTCATTAGCCATACGAAGACGTACTTGTTGCTGATAATGTCTAATGAACATCCGATTAGCGACGTTCAACAGTGTTCAGTGATCGTCTAATCAGCATCAACAGTAGTACATCAGCCACTTGAACTGATGCTTCGCTGCCGTACAACCACGGTGACCTACGGAACGAAGGATAATATCAAACAGAGAAGGGGGAGCTGCGGTAAAAACTTATTAGCTTAAACAAACACTCGGGGTCAAGGCGCCTACACCTTATCAACAAAATACCATCACAAACAGTTGGCTATCGTGCAAAGATAAGGCGGTATCAAAGAGACAGCCTTCTTGCGGCTTTCACTGACCCGCATCATAATCAGCTATTATCCCGCAGACAACAAAACACCAAACATACTTTAAGCAGACATGCCTCTGGTGTCGACCGCGAGCCTTGTCCTGCAGCGTCACAAGCCAAACACAAGGCGGGCCACGGGGACTCCAGCCTGGAAAGCGAGGCGAACCGACGGCGCCGAGTTGCGTTGTCAGTGACTTCATTTCCCGCTGTGAGGTTAATTTCTGCCCACCTCGGGCCTTGTGCCATCTTACATCTGGCAAAGATAACAAGGGCCTCCTCGGTAGGCGGTGACCAGATATGCGCATCATGTCCCCAATGTAACGTAACTTATTCAGTGCTATCTGTTGTTCTAGGGAGCTAGCATGATTATCACCAGCTAGTACTCGGCTACGCACATCATCGTTGGGGACATGCTGGTGCCATCCGACTCCAGCAATGCTTCGCAGACAACGATGATCAAAAACTTGAAGGCGCCTTAAGCCCTCAGATCAGAGGGGCAAAACCTCGCTTCCATAGAGTAGGACCGATTACTCAGATCAAAAGCAGTTGGCAAACGTTTGTCGCTCAGTGTCGTCGCGAGCGTCTGCCGAAAAGCACCCGGAGGTAGGCTCATACTGGTGCATTATCGGAGTGCATGCTTCCGCACCAAATCGAATGACAGCTGGAACGCAGCTCCTCCAACAGAGGAAAATTTGCGTCAACCGCTATGTGTCATGCACCATGGTGGCAGAGAACTCCGTGCACGGTGAGGCCTATCGTTTAAACAAAGACAAGCATGTGTAGCACTGCATTAGCCCGTGCAGTGGGAAAAACGTCGATCATCTTGGTTAGTTTTCAGATAAGCGGAACTCATAGTGCGTCAACGGGAGGCCATACGCTCGCGACTGGGATGACACTGAACAAACAGGGATGTGAAAGGAGCAATCGGTCCGATGTAGATCGGGCTATCATACAACAAGTGAGGCAATGATGACGGGCCGTAAGAAATGGACAAAGGTAGCAATGGAGTTCTCGAAAAAAGTGCTTCTATCACTTTTTCAGAAGACAAGGAAGACGATATGTCGAGTTGGTACAAGTGGCCTTCCAGCAGACCTTAAGCAGAAAGCATGGAGTCTATGTGGACTCATAAAGCAATTGTGCTACTTCTCTTACCACAAGTTGTAATCTCGCGGAGACAAATATGATTAAAGCACTGAGTTCCCTTGATCATTCTAAATAAGACAATGAGAAGACTGGTATTGCGAGATGGAACCATTTCGTGTTATCTGCTCACTCGCAAACTAACAACATAAAGATGAATCACGTGACAGAAAAATCGAAGATTTGAAACTGGTCACAAAGGAAAATTACGTAGACGCAAGAATAACAGATCAGCAAGCATAGTCTTAGGGTCATGAGCCCCAAGGAAGTTTCAGGGAGACTGTTAATGGTTTTTGTACACACAGGATAGGGCGATGCCGATTAAGTGCCTCCGCTTCGGCAAACCTCAACACTTTGGGGTTGTTGTTTCGATAGAGAACTGTAAATGTTGACCTAGGGTCAACCTGATGGCCTGATTCGAGTAGATGTCGGACTATCGATGATGCAGGCAGCTTAGATACGTTTTCTCGTTCGGCTGCTGGTTGTGTCGATATTTTAGCAATCCGTTTTGGGATATGCTCTCCAATGCGCTTACTCAAGGATCGATCTGTCCTACTAATGTAACTACTACCGTAGTTACAAACGAATTGGTAAATGCAATGGGTTGTGGCGCAGATCGGTTGAGTAGGCTTCACTGGAGGCAAAGGCAACTTCCTGGTCTCCCAAATGGGGCAGAATTTGGCGGCATTGAATGTCCGACGAATCGCTGTATGCAAACGACTTTCGAGTTGGGCGGCCACGATATCACCTTTGAAAGGTAATTGAAGGTAGACAGACGATTTGGGCACAGTAAGTACCCTCGTGTTGTTTTCCTTCAGTTGACTGTGGAATCGAATAAACGCCTCTGGATATCCGTTGGCCCGTAGCGTCTGTGTGATAAACAGCAATTCCGATTCCAAACGGTCGCCAGTGCATATTCTGCGGGCTCGATTAAACAGCGTCTTGACTAAGCACCGCTTGTATTGTATAGGGGCGAAGCTGTTGAAGTGTTCATACAATCCTGTCCATGTAGCTTTCCTGTGAACAGAACGTTTTATGGAGCCGTCTTCTCGTCTGGTCAACAACACATCCAAAAACGGAAGGCAATTGTTATCCTCCAGCTCGCAGGTAAAACGGGCGTTTGGATGTGCGTTATCGAGCACATTGAGAAAGGATAGAACAGCGTCTCCATTTGGAGCGATCAATGTGTGTCATCTACATATCGCCGGTATAAACACATTTGATTGATGTGCGACTCACATCTCATTTCAACCATCGTCATGATGTCAGCCAATACCGGACCAAGCGGACTTCCCATGGCTACACCATCCACCTGTCGGTACGGCTTGCCTTCAAATAAGAAATGCACATTTTCCGTGCAGAGTAGCAGCAAATCCCTAAGATATTCCACGGGAATGGGTAACACTACTTTATTACTCATGATAAACTCACACAAGAAATCCACCGTTTCTCTTAATGGGATGTTAGTGAACAACGACTGTACGTCCATCTTTATGTTAGTTGTTGTTAGTTTGCGAATGAGCAGATAACATGAAATGGTTCCCTCTCGCAATACCAGTCTTCTCATTGTCTTATTTAGAAATACCATTAAATATGCAAAGCTGCTTGAACGGCTTATCGGCCATTCAAATGAACAAGAGGGCTTCAAGGAGGAGATATCAAGTGAGCGAGGTGTGTATGACTAGTTAATCGTCCAAATCAGTCTATGACAAGCAACGATATAAGTAAAATGAGTCTATTCCTGGCAATGACAAGCGATCTTCGCGACAAAAAAACCTAAAAGTTTCCATTCTGCCTATTGTTTGGTACTGTCAAGGGCAAGTAGCACTGTGTCAGAAGTAGTGTGATGCTAACGAGTAAATCGGACGGGAACGTGCAAAATAGGAACTACTCCAACGATCTACATACACATGGACCGCAGGGAACTGTGGAAGCATTTCGCAACGAAGGCTGGGAAGTAGAACGCACCCTACAAGGTACGAGAAGACAACCAAGTCGAGACGTTGTAACACGCACATCAGTGATATCATGAGAGATGCAAGGTCTAATGTGGCCTGCGGATACTCGTTGTCTCGGTACCCAGTTTTCCTTTCGGTTGAAGCTCTACAAGTGATTGTGTAATGCAAAGCGACTCAACGTGGAGTTAAACACTAAGCCATCCAGCACTACGTCACAGAGAACCAGAATGTGACGGTTATTGGGAAAGCGACGGAAAGTTGGAAGCGAAAGTATGTAATCAGGTCTACCACAAAGAGGAATGGCAGATAGGGGATAACAAACACGGAGTTGAGAACCATTAATTCGCGATATAAGCGCATGTATTATGACAGCGACGAAATTCAGGAGACGATGGAGAGGTTGCAAGGAGGAACCATCATCAAAAAAGAGCACCAAGAGGAAAATAAAACAAAGCCGAGGGATCAGAAGTAGTGCGTGAATGTACAAGGCGGAGGTTCTCTGCTGTATGGAGGAAAAGAGATCAGCGAAAAGGAGCCGGTAGTACACAACACGTGAACGATGATAAAGTCTGAATTATATTCAGATAGTGAGGAGGCTTAGCGATAATGTCGTCCGAAAGGCATGGCTAACGAATGTGGTGCTGTATGGGTTTAGAGTGAACGAAGCCCAAGAAACGCACCGTACGGCAAACCTCAACGGGTAAGTAGTGCAAATACCCGTAACAGGCAGGCGGAGTGGGAAGAGGTGGGCGCACCAACGGACAATGCCGGGGAGGAGACAGTGGAATGACCATGGGGATGATGACAAGACCGAGCGTCAAGGAGCGCGTGTGGGACGCCGTTTTCCAAGTGAACGGACAGAAAGAGGCAACAGTGTAACAGGCATGAAGAAAACCGTGCTTTGGTGTCCTATGCGAAATGAGACAGAGGTCAGTACTGTATGTGAAAAACTGTTAGAGCCGTTGTAGTAAATAAGGCAACAAAAATCTGGCAAACGTATGATGAAATCTGGGGTACGGATAGGCTGGCGGTAGACAGACAGACAGATGTGTAAACAGGAAATGAACACAGCAGAGAAAATTAAAGTAAAACAATACGCGGGTGGCCTGCGAGTAAGACCGATTAGCGCGCATTCTGCCCATCACAACACGCGGATATGTAGAATATACAAACGCAGATACACGATGACCCAACACACCAAGGGGGATTGGTGCAGACCGACACCGACTTGGGGGGTGCATGACATGGCGGATAACAGAGGTAATCAAGTTGCAGTGGCTCTGATCAATTCAGGTGCTGCACACCAGTGTTTGCGGACTCATTGGAACTTATGCACATCGATCTCAACGAAGAGAGAGCGTGGGGAGGAGATGAAGCGGTACCAGCGGGCGAGGTTGTACGTGACAAAATGTTGAGCGCCGGCGCCACCGTCACTCAAGACTGCTGTAGTGGGAACGATAATTGGGCGACGTACTGCGCCGATCACAACAAAATAACCCGCGTTGCACACACTATCTGCATTCCCATATCCGAATAGTCTGATCGACGCTACCGGTGATCACGAAGGGAGCTATCCGATTGATGTCTACAGATTGTGGGAAAGAAGAGAAATAAGATACAAAACCGGTGGATACTCAAAACGATTCTGAAATAGCCAGCAAACATAGTGGTTTACAAAAATTATGATGAGAAAAAGAAACGGTCTGAGAGGATCATCTCAATACAGCGATAAGAAAAACGAAGGCGTGGTAGATTAAATTTCATTTGCTCGAGTCAGTATGAAAAGGAGCTTTAAAAACGAAAAGATAGGGGAGGGCTGAAGTAAAGAATACAGTAAAGAAATGGAAACGCTAACAGATATAAGCATAGACGCGAACGCGACGTAGTTTAAAGGATAACTGTCTCAACAGTATCCATACGTCTGCGGAATATTATCGGTCGGTGGTCCCGGGGCTTAGGTACCCCAACCAAGAGTTCAGCCAGAGTATGCAGTTCACTAGGCATACGAAGAACATACTATGGAAACCCGGTTATCAAGCACCCAACGGCAAACTTGTGCAATGCTCAGTTGGACTCTCCTGATATGAGATACTACCTATAAGCCGCCAACCGAAGGGTAAATGATCTTCTGCTGTTCCAAGGGGAGCTCAAAAGTCTATCCATTAAGCCAAGTCCATCTCACAAGGCAGTGGGAATTGACTGCTGAAGGCCTGCCAAATGAAGTCGCGGTAGGCCAAACTTATTACATGTGCATTTTCGAGTGGAACTGCGGTTGCTAAGATGAGATTTGTTAAGTTTGCACCTTAACGACTAAATGCTGCCCAGCGTGAAGTGAGTAGTGCCATACCAGTTGTTGAGGGAAGCTTAACATCCCAACACACAACGGTTACCGAGGAAAAATCAAAGTAGATAAACTGTCGTGTTATGTTGCCGTTTTTAATGCTGAATGTTTAACACCGTCGACATCTGTCCAACCAATAGTGAGTGATGACCTCCCGATTGTGGATGTGGCGATAACGGAGCGTGATTTCGCGATCAAAAATAAATGAAACTGATTCATCCAGTTCTAGTCGCTTACAAGCAGAGAGCAGATGTTCACTAGAGAATCAATACATCTAATATCAACCTCATAAAGCATGGTAAACGGCGAATCATCAACCCGCCGGTCATGGATTGTTTGTACAACGATAATACAGTGGAGTCGACAGTGATGCACAAATCGGAGACAGTTCTTGCGGGTTGAGGTAGCTGGAAGACTGATTGTAGTTGACCATCGGCAGTTACGGCGTGTCGGTCACATCCAGTCGGACTAGCAAATTAGTCAGCCAACGCCTGGCAGCAGTCCGTCGTGTCGCACAGAGGTGTAGGTTAAACTCCAACTACCTGTGGTAGCCAGATCATGTCTATCGAGTAACTGACGACAAGCCGCCTGGGTATGCATTGTTAGTCAGCATGATCGGTCAAGGACATGACAAAGTAAAACAGGGGAATTGATCGAGCAGGTGCAACCACGATGGGAGTTGCTGGATCAATCGTGTAGGTAAGCAGAAACCACATCGGACATGACTGTAGCAGGGATATCCGATACAAACGTTCGGGTCACGGTCCGGCCAGTTCTCAAAGCAGAAGACAAAGGCCTTTGGCCAAAACCCTAGTAAGCAATCGGCAGACTGTGTAATCAAAGATGGAGTCAAAAGAAACAACTCATGAGTGAATGACCTAGCTGAAAGTGCGTGAATTCTAGCAACTACTAGATGCTTGAAAATGCTCCTGATGGCCCAGGGAGTGCGCTTACTTGCGGTAGATTAATTTCACTGGTAAATTTCAAGGTGAAACTCTCTCACTGACTGGCTCTTCTTGGATAGCCAATCAGCTTCTGGCTGCGTCGAGTCAATCTTCTCTGGGCTGCTAGCGATAGGACCGGCCCCGAGGACTGCTACGGGCGAGCATTCATAACAATGGCTTCATCTGTATCCCAGCTCATTAACCCGATGACCTTGTAACCGACCCGTTCTTCTCGTCTTATCAAGTGTCATTTTTGAAGTAAAGTGAGCGTGGACAAGATCCCACTGAAGCCGAGTGCAAGGACCTCAACTAAGCCACCGCGTTCAGTAATCAACGGTGGCTTGACTACTAGAGATAATAGAAAGCCCGATTGAGAACTTTAAACGGCTGTTGGTATTAGTGAGAGCTGGCTGTGTGCCATCGCAATCCTGCATCATTGTAGGCCTAATGAACGTGTCGAACGCCAGGAGCATAATGCACTCGTAAAAGGATATGGCCTAAGTGTAAGAGGTTTGCATGGTCAATGTCCTCGAAGCATGTCAGCCGTACGGCTAGCTGGTCGACTATGGTCGGAGAATGGAACTGCGATGGATCGGTTTACCACAGCTCGCATGGTCATGTACATAAAGGGAAGACAGTAAGAGGAGAGCGGACACAACGACAACAGGGGCGAAGAAAAAAGTAAGAGTGAAAAATAAGGGTAAAATGTGAAGAGCTGATAAGACGGACAATATTAACCGCAAATTGTAAGTGATAGAATGGATGAACAAAATCGGCTTCTCGATCTAACTATGTCGAATAAGGTGGTTTATACCGAAGCCGCATGAAGTGCAAGCACCAGCAAGAACAAGTTATGCCGAATGACCACACTGGGAGTTCACCTGGCACATGATCAACAGGCACTTGAAGAAGACACTGAATACCAACCGGTAAATCTTCACAATACGTGCCGATACCAATGTAGACATGAGCACTAGTTACGACGCGCCAAGTCAGATAACTTTTTGGTGTCCACGCGGTAAGAATGGACGGACTGCGACGCTGAATACACAGTGACTAACAGTCTGATATCAGGTACGTCCCATGGACACTTGGGACGTTACAGTTCAGTCCAGTGGAACATCTATGATCGGAGACCGAGGTGCAGTGGGATGCAGTTGCCATGATTCGCATAACCAGAATGAGATTAAATAACGGCAAAAAAATAAAGTTCAATGTAACGAAAGCCAGAGGAAATGGAACTAAGATGTTAAAGGAAAAAGGATGGAATTTAAATTAACAGCTAAATGTATGAAGCCAAATACACGGACGCTACAGACTGTATGATGTCTGAGAGGATCTACAACCATTGGCGCGGATAATTTCGAGGCCCCCATCCACGAAGACGGCATGTATCAGCGTGATCAAGTCTCTCAGTTAAGTTGATCATACCACGCCATCGAGTGGCCACCTTTCGGTTTCTCTTAACTTGGTGCATTCATGGTGTATAATGCACGCCGAGGAAGCCGATCAATGGGTATACAGAGGACATGATCTAGTCAACGTGAGTGATTAAGATTCTGCAAACACTCGAGTAAGGCACAAGAAGGTTTCTTGCCAAAAACCAACTGGCAGACCGCATCATTGCGCACCCGATGTTCCCACTAGATGGGAGCGATACTCCGCAAGCACCGGTGGCCAAGCACGGCCAAGTGTTTAATGTCTTGCCGCGAACTGGTTAGGTCTCTGATCCGCATAGTAAGACCAGCCTTTTCGCAGCGTTATACACCCTACCTTTCAATGACAGATTGATATCCCACCATTTCAGAAAATTGTTTAGCCTCTGAAATGGCACACGGGCCTTGTGGATACGTAACTTGACCTCCACAGAGAGGAGACCACCAGAGGTGACACAGCTACCAAGGTAAGTGAAATGATCCACAACTTCTGGTGGCTGTTCGGTGGTGGCGTATCAACCCAGTCCTGAAGCATTATTTAGCAGTTTGAAATTGCAAAGCACATGTCGAAGCGTGGCGGCGCAAGGCGTCAGTCTACGCAGAGCTATAACCTCCGCATACTCAAAGTTTGGCAGTTAATCATCTGGTAGAACTTCCACTCCGGAAGAGTCTGAAAAACCGAGCCATTTATTATCTTTTCGATCACAAAGTTGAGGAGGAAAAGAGATATAGATCCTCAGTTGTTGTGCGGAACTGAAAAGACAGCTTCTTGTTGGTTCTTACCCGGCCTCGGGAATCACGGTCGAGGGGTTTGAGAATGGAAATGATTTCAACTGGCACGCCTTACATGGAGAGACAGTGCCACAAACGGACTCGATCAACAGTGTATGCGGCTTTCAAGTCAAGCAAGACTAGGCATAGTCGGTCGAACTGAGACGTGTGAAAGCGAGATGACCAATCCTTTTCGTTGGGTGAGATGATCAAATCGACAAACTGTCCCAGGTGCTTGCACTAAGACAGCGAGGATAGGTAGCATATGGCTCCAGTATTGCAGCAGCACCTTGTAGATTGCGGGTGTGATGCCTAAGCAAAGAGGACACATTCGGCAGTGTGGGCATAGCGGTTGAGTCCGACCAACAGGAATGTAGGTTGTCCACATAACGAATAGCGGCAGAACTTCAAGTTCAAGATAAGCAGAACCGAGCGGAAGCAGAGTGGTTCTGCAACACTGTACCTGTCGTGGGGGAAACACGGGGCATACACAGAACTCCACAGATCCAGGAGGTGGTGGGTTATCGCCTGTCAAGTGTTCTCTCTAGTAAAAGCCACAGATGTCTGTTTAACACTGCGACGTGGCGGATGTGACTCGCCACTAAATTAAGTCGGTGCTCTTAGCTTCACTCCGGTGGATCATTGTATTCCACCAGTCATGAGTTGAAATTATAAGGAAGACTGGGGTCCTGTTTGGCGCTCTACCAAACGAAAGGCACATGAACCGAGAAACCGGTCAGCGGCTCCCAATTGACACGATTCCCTGAATTCGCCCCGCTGCCTTGCGGGTAGGATGTCTAGCAAAAGACTCGGAGCGGAGTCACCTAAGACAACTCCCTACGTCGGTTTGGGCAACCGGGTAGCATCGTGCCTTCTGCAGAAACCATGAATCAGCTTACTACTTCGTCGTACGCTCGCGTTCCTCTCTTAGTTGTCTCTCACCAATCTTCATCTGTTAGCAATACGTGTTACCCTCAATTTAATCTTTACACCGGTTTCGATGCTGCCCACAAAGTTCGGTCTGATACAACCCTTCGACTCCGATTCGCGTTTCGACTGGCAAGGTTCAATGTTTAGAACTCTCATCCAGATT